CGACAATGGGAATGAACTGAGAAATATTTTCCGGCCTTCTAGTCACCACCCTCTGTTCTATCTTTGAAGGTGCACTGGCTGATAGCGACAATGGGAATGAACTGAGAAATATTTCCTGGTCATCTAGTCACCACCCTCTGGTCCATCTTTGAAGGTGTAGTAGCTGATAGCGACAATGGGAATGGACTGAGAAATATTTCCTGGCCATCTAGTCACCAACCTCTAGTCCATCTTTGACCATCTAGTAATTACTTTTTGTCCCAACTTTGAAGGTGTTGTTCTAGCTGACATCGACAATGGGATTTTGCTAAAAATTGTTCCTGGCCATCTAATCTTCTCGCTTTGCCAAACTTTGGTTGTAATACTTTCTTGTTAATGACTAAATTCCAATAGTTTTACTAGTAATGGGTTTTAAAGCTAAAAATATGTTGAAGAGTGATGATAACAACAGCATAATTAAGTTTAAGGGTGCTACATCAGTTAACATTAATGTGTTGGATGGTAGCATGTATAACATTTTAAGAACTTCCAGAGGCATGGATAGACCCTAGGGAAGACCGCAATATTATGGGAGTATAAAAACAGGATACAAACAATTAGTTATCGTTTGACGAACGTCACTTACAGGTTCAGAAATCTCGCAGAACCAGTAGTTGGTGTGACTCAGAGGAAAGTTACAGAACTGCCGAGGTTTCTTCACAGTGCAATGTCAAGTTTATGTTAGCAATACTTGTATTTTATTTATTTCTCAATAACTCAGTGTTGAGATTTCTACAGCAAAATTAAAAGGTTTACCTAATAAAACAATATGTCAATGTAAAAACGTGCAGAATCTGGAATAATATTATGAACTGTAATATTTATTTGGCTTCTTTTAGTTATGGAAATAGATTTTATTCCCCATAAAAAGTACGGATGGCAGGACTACTATAAAATGGCGAAAACGGTCCGATAAGGTTGGTATAGTGCCTTGCATTATAGAATAACGGAGTGTCCCACGAAGGGGTTAAGACGTTTGATTTTTAATTACCAGTCCATTCAAGTGCTGAGAGCTATGAGACTTTTGTGGATTTATAAAGTAGGGTTTTAAAATATTGTATGAAAAATTCAGGTTCCTAACACTTGTGTCCCGGGGGTTCAAATCCCGCAAATCACCAATGAATTAATGTATGTGATAATGCTGCAATCCTCTAGGACTAGCCTGATGTAATTTGCAGAAGTTCCGGACCAGAACTAGCGTCCTAGGATGTAAAGAAGGAACATAAAAAAACTAACTACGTAATATAAAGTGAAACGTCTAGCCCTGTTCATAGAAACCTGTATATGTGGTACAATGTCTTGCTTTGCAAAAAATAGTTGTTTAAGGATGTGCTAGCACGTGCACTATCAAGCAAAAACAAAAAAAAACATAGTGATACTATAGGGGGAAATTCTTAGATGGAGATGTCACCAAAATCCTTACCTACGCAGAAAATGCTCGAATAGAAGTGCGATCAGTCGGTGCACTTGCGATAAATTCTCAAATTACGCAGGATTTACCAGGATGGGTGCGACCAGGTACGGTCTTGTGCTGGGTTACTAAGATGGGGTGCGACCAGGTACCCTGTTACGCAGAAACGGTTTAGGCAGGGTGCCACCAGTACCCTGCTATGCAGAAAAATGTTCGTCTGGTGGTACCATGCAGGAAATACTGAGATGGGGGTGAGATCAGGTGCACTGCTATGCAGGAAATGCTCGGCCTTCGCCAGGTCTCTAATAGCTGCAGTTTACGACTCTCAACGGAGCGGTGCATTACCAACACGTCAGTCGAGTCTTGCGCCGCGGAATTCCTCTGGAATATCGAGAAAACTTTGGTACATGGCGCGCATGATCAGACATTTACCAACAGTGAGTTAGTTCAGGACCAATATACTTACGATATATCATTGCAACTGCAGCTTAAACATTGTATGTTGAATTTCTAAGACGATTTACAAAATGTGTGATAGTTAAGTTTTTCTAGTGCATGTGTCAGTGGAAAATCCATTATAAACAAATTAATGCTGGACCCAATTATATTTTCCACCATTCAACTCCAACTGTAATTTAACTTCTCCGGGAAGATCTGCATATGTAAACAGACTAAAATTTATTTAAAAGCTACAATTAATGAAGTTAAGTAAATACTCAAGTGCAACGAAAAAATTACAAAGTTTTCAACAAACAACCAACAAAGGAGCCGACGACTCGCGACGCATGAAATGTGATGTGGATAATTTTATGTTGCGAGACCGGCACGAAGCATGAAAATGAGACGGTTATGTTTTCGGATAAACTGAGACATTGCCAAACCTTTGACTGTCTGTGCTGTAGTGCTGAGACGTTATTTATGATGATTAATGACTGAAATGCCTTAGGAAAAGTCATTTGTTTAAAGTATAAGAAGAATGTCACTGCAGTCATTACAAAGTAATTTATCAACACAAGCTTTTGATACTTTTGAGATCCTTTCAAACAACAATTTTAGTTTTACAAACAAAATGAAAATGTTACAGTTAAACATTTGCCTAAATAATGACTATAAACCTTGACCTTCCACAACCAAATGGCCTTTGACAATTCTAATGTAAGTTTTGGATTAAAACGGACTGAGTTAAATTGAACCATGGACTAAATGCGCTGCTGTTAATACCCCCCTTCTTTTTTATGAAAAAATTGTAACGACTCCTTGCTGTAAAGGAAACTTGTTGCTATGCTATCTAACACACAAGTTACTACCGTAGAATGAAAAGCTAAAAAAATAAAATGCAACAATAAATTACCAAACCCTTTTTAAAAAACTGCCAACCGCTTGAAAAAAAAATCAATAGTAAACTCTGTGAGAAACTCATTAAACTATAACATCCGTTTTGGAACTAAGTACAGCTTTCTTTAAGATGGAACTAGTTTTGGCAATAAAAAATACTTTTGACTTTGGAAATAAGGTTTTAAAAGTACGACAGAAGGCAATCATGTACTGTTATTACATAAACATCTATTTACCTGACTCCCTCTACGATTCACTGTCGGTGAATTCAGTGAATCAAAGTCAAAGCAGATCTTAGCTCAAACATAGCCACGTAAAATCTCCGTGACAGTTCAACAAATCAGTTGACCCAAAAATAGCTCGATAACTCACGATCTGTCAAATAGTTTGTCTTATCCGATGCTGACTAAGACTGGAAGAAAATTAAATGCAAATCGTCTTCTCTGTTGGCCGTAAAAGGCAGAACCGCATTGGAATTAAGGCCAGCAGCGGCGTGTAGTGAGTGACTGATAATGCTCACTGATGGCGATCATTCTAGCATCTAGCAGTCTCATCGACAGAAATGAAATGTCTTGCATTCAAGTTCAGAGGAGTTACTGTCATTTATGAAAATGTTAGAGAGTTTTTGTAAATTTCTCTATATTATATTTAAACACTAGTTGTTTTATCTGAGCCTTGTAATGTGGCAGAACGCAAGGTAAAATAGTGGGTTTATCTACATAAACTACCATTACGATTACACACACACCCTCCATTGCTTAAAGAAATAAGACTCACGCACTACTTTGTCTCATAGTAATTCTTATTAGACCAATTTAAATCTCCTGAGTCGATGAAAGCGAAGTAACAAATATTAAAGCATGTATACAAGTGGTTTTAATTTCGGTGCCACGGAGGAAGGGTACAAACCAACAGTATAATAAGGGAGTGAAATGACCTATATGTTTGACAATTTCATGATCCCCCTTTATGCAATTTCAGTACAGTCAGTTTAGTAGTTAAACGTTAACCCGGAATAGATACGTACATTTTAGAGACATCAAAACTCTACTAGAAATACTTTAGCGAATCGTAGATCCCGTTGGTGTTACGTTAAGTTCAAAGTGCCCCTAGACGAGAATGCCCCTAGAAGTGGCAACACTGGGCCAGGGGTCCCCTAGAAAGGGGGGAGGGGCCTTATACGGCGCCTGGCTTTACGACGCCGCAACAATGTGTTTCCAGAGAAAACGTTCGATAATTTAACTACAGAGGACTCGTAAACTGGTCTAGAGTGAGCGCGACGGAGGACTAGAGTTGCAGCTCGGTCAGTGACTCACGGTCTGCAAAAACGGAGGACGATAGTTCTCTGGGGCAAAAACACGTGGTACTCAGGGAAATTGGGGAACGGTCAATAATTGACTGATGGCGGACAAAGTTGTTCATTCAATAGGCCCATTACCTTTGACTTTTTGATGGCTAAGTAGATATCACCTTATGGACCAGCTGCAGCAGATTTTTTCTCAAGTAGAACTCAATGAATGAACCATACACATAGTGAGGTACTGTCGAAACATTTTGCTCTTTACAGTAGGTGTTTGATACTACGGGTGGTGAGGAACAGAGGCGCTATAATGTACATTAAATCCTTTGAGTTAGGCTTGGTAAATGGTAGGCGTAATTGACAGAAATAAGCAATTAACAGTATCGGTGGCTTTCTGAAACGAACTACGTGTGAAATGAACTAAGTGTGCTATTTTCATTCTACTGGCTACAACGTTAATATAAGAATGATATGTCCACTTATATTGACAGTCACATATATTACCTTTGACTACTGATAGGAAATCACACGTTAAAACTGTAGCCTTCAGTAGCAACAACTTAAGGACACCTATAATTTTGAACAGTATCACGCTGTGAGAAGCTTTATTTATTTAGTACTTGCGGTCGATCCACATAGAATGTCTACTTCAGTATCAAAATGTAAATCGAAATTGCCTAATGTATCAGATTTTGATTTTGAAAAATGACTTTTATAGTTTGTTTTCACAAGTTAAAACACTTTTTCACGGGAATCTTGTTGTTGATATATATTGCCCGTTGCACACTATCCACTGTCTTTCATTTTGGCAATGGCACGTTCGTCCATGACGACACGTGATCAGCTGTCCCCGAAGATCACCTTCGCCAGGTCAGCTTACACCCATTGTTCTCCACAAACAAGGAGTCCACTTACCTAACATTTTACTGAGGTCGGCGTTGTGTAAGTCCGGGTTCTCGTCGGCGAGTTTCTTCCTCTCCACCTTGGCCCAGACCATGAAGGCGTTCATGGGACGTCTGATCCTCTGCTCCTTGGCCTGTTTCTGCTGCTGCGCCGGTGACATCTTGGGCGCGGTGTCCAGGGTGTGCTGGTAGTGACCGCTCCCTAGCCAGCTCATGTCGTCCCCCTGGAGGCGGTGGACTCCTGGCAGCATCTGCGACACGGGCACCCCCAGGTCCTCCTGTGCCATGTAATAGTGGCGCGGACTGTATAGGTGCGAGTTGTACAGCAGGGAGGGAGAGTTGGACGGAGACACCGTGTAGTGGTTGACCCCCGCCTGAGGAGACCCCATGGCGCCCCCCAGCATCTCGGACTTGGGGTAGTTGTCCATCATCCTGCAACAATCATCAACTATCACAATCTCTGATGGATGAAGTAGGAGATACAATTGATTAGTTAAGAACAAATGTCGCTCATGGTTAGAACCTTCGAGTACTTATTGAAGCTCAAAAAGAGTCCAGATCACACAACAAAAAGATGAACCATATTACATGTTCCATTTCACAGAAAGTGTAGCAGATATCCTTATGCATTAACCCTTGGAAAAATAATTAAATTGGAAAGATACTAGTTGCTCAATATAAAAAAAAAATATTTGAACAAATATGAGAATGGATACTCCAATACATAGTCAAAGATGCCAATTATTACGCCAGTCGCTTTAGAAATTCCTCATAGCAAAAACATCTTAACACATATAAGACAATTTAAATACGTACATACAGCTAACAAATCATCTACGATAACAAACAGTTTAATTCGACCAATCCCAGTGGGTAGAGGCTTGACATTCGATCACCGCTCTGATTTCCGCACGCAGAGCCTTGTAGGGCGTGGAATGTAGCCCGCACCGATCCATCATGGCGAGTAACGTCCAGGCTATCAAACGACCATAAACCTCATCTGTGGTCCTACACCCACACCAGGTACACTAGTCTGTACTACACAACCACACACTGCAACTAGGTCTCTGTGAGAGAACACATAGAAGGACAGAACGTCTAAACCTGCACTGGTGAGCGAGAAAATCTTCGAAATGTTTTATGAACAAACAACACACTTACACATCCACAACACACTTTTTGCCCGTGTGATAAACAATATTTTTCGTCATATTACACCATTCACAATACAAACTATGTTACGAAACCAAAATAGTTTTCATTTAAAGATAACCTCTCAAAACTACTTCTAACTTGTTTTAAATTTAATTAGCTAATGGAAACAAGCAGATGTTTAGTAAGTGATTCAAACGTTTCGTCTTACGATTGTTTTATAGTGTACATTTTAATGTTCCATGTTACTATTGATAGTTCGAACTATTTACGAGAAGGCAACAATAAGCTACAATCGATTAAACAATCTATACATACTTTCGATACATGCGATTGTTTACAATCGAAATTTACAACTGAGTTTACAACAACTGATGTTACTCCCTAGAGGCTAAAAACTTTAATCCCTAGGGAGTAAAAAATGCTACTTTAGACACGCAACACATTAAAAACTGCTGTTTTTGCTGCAGTATGACGAAAAACAAATTATTTGGTCCTGATAAATCTTCTGAACACAGACCCCACAAAGAATAAAATTTGTGTACAAAAAGCTCAAAACAACACTCAAGTTAACGTAGATGATTTGAGCTACCGGCGTAGTGTGCTGTCAATTTAAGTTTTCTGTCGGATACGCCAACATTTTAACTCCAAATCTAAATGACAGACCTGTAAACTATCCAAAAGTCAAAGATAAAACTTCAACTTTAAAAGAATACTTCCAGTTGGCTTATATTGAGAATATAATAATGTTATTTAAAGCAGTAAATTTATCAATGTTGTCTGCCATGAAAACCTAAAAAAAATTACAGGCAAACACATCACTTGGCCAGTAGCGTTGTTGAGACAAATAACAGTGAATACTCAAGTAAGTTTCAAGGTATGTTATTTTTATGGTAGTTACAGTTTTTGTCACTGGTTACTGTTCCTGTTACTGCTAGGATCGCATGGTTGAGAAGAGTAAAGCATGGTCCAGCGACCGCGAGCTCAGTTCAGGGGACAGTGTGCGAGTGACCTAGCAGAGAATAATTCCAAGTGTGCTTCCCCGTTTTACTCCTGTTAAGTTTTTTTTTATAAAACTTCAAGATTTTTAAGTTATAATGTTCTTACTAAACATCTAAACAATTTATAATTCAGTAGAATTTTCTTCTTTTTTTATAATAGAACCACATTTAGGTTTTCACATCAACCTATCAATGGTGATTTGGGGATGAAACTAAATCGTATTTAAACCCAAATATGGATAGAAGATTGTGTGGAATGAGTAAGATGGCTGTTTAGCGTTGTTACTAAATAATCTGTTTGGATATCCAGAACTTTTTAAAGACCAATGATCAAGAGTATTAACATTCATTATAGTAACCCCAAAACTGCAATAACAGGTAATGTAAAACCAATTCATCAAGAGCACATGTGTTCAGTTTTGAACCATCAAAATCACCTATCATAAAAGTTTCTGACTTATGAGGAATCAACCGGCTGACTTTTCATAGCTATGCGAACACTACAATCTGCTATATATTTAAGAATACAAGACCTAGGCTGTTGCATTTACACTTTCTTCCTTAAAATCTTGTTGCTTTAGAAATTTTACATTTAATTCAACACAAGTTAGCACAATACAGTTAGTTTTTCGTTTAATCCAACACTGACTCTAAGACAGTCATATTGCAGTTTCTTTTAACACATAGAGTTGTCTAACATCAGTATAACTTGAAACGTTTTGTCATTACTGGCTGGGTAGTGAAGGGGTTATAGTGCTCGCCTACCAATCAAAAGGTTGCCGATCCTGAGAAAAGTTAGTAGCTTTTTGAAGGTTCGAAACTGGACCCATCTGTCTCTGATCATTGGGCTTTAAACAAATGATCCTCGCTACAGGAACAGCTGATCTTATAGTCAGTAACAAAGCTACACGAATCATCATGCAGTACTTCATTCTAAACCCACCCTTCATTCTTATTTGGGTTACAATACGCACCTAGATGGCGTTCCCAAGCGTGTAACCGTTTAAGAACCACATTGCAAGCCAAATATTTCCATTACACTCAACTTACAGAAAGTTAGTCCTACTGCAGTTTGTGCTTACACAAGGTTCCAACCTAACAGTTTTATTCACAATCAAGATACCACACTCCAGTCCATAAACATATTTACACTTTGTCTTACAAGCTTATAGACAGTTATATTGCAGCCTCCATCACGTCAAGGTCCCTACATGACCGTTGTATCTGTTACAGTTTTCTCTATATCCCATTCCACCGACACCCGTCCTATATTCGCCGATGACGGTCCACACGATGTCGGTGGGAACACCAACCAGCGTGAAATGGAAGCGGTCGCACGCGCGATGACTCGGACTTGCTCGTCATCGTCGCCCGGGCTTCCGAGATACACTTGGTTTCTTGTTACAACGGGTCTTCAGATATCTCATGACAGATGAAATCCAAAGGTTAAAGAATTAAATGAGGTTTGCAAATCTCTAAACGATTCACCCACAAGTAAGCTAACACTGAACGATGACTGCAGAAGTTACCATCTCCACCCGGCGCTGGCTTCTGGGGAGTGGACTTCCGAGATAGATCTGATTTCTTGTTACAACCTGGCTTGACTGTTGTTTTCCTTAGAGATCTCATACAAATACAGATTAAACCTAAAGTCAAATGGGTACTTCTGTAAACAACTGTCCCAAAATTGGAATTGACTCCGCGGACTCCTTTAGACATTTCACATCCCCCATTCCTAAATATGTATTTTAAATGATATAACAGTTTAAAACATGTTTATCTATTATAATATTTACAAAAAATGGATATAGTGAAAATTATAAAAATAATGTAAAGTTGGATTATTTTATAGGAAAAGCTGACATCAAAGAGTATATTTCGTTGTTGTTACAAACTGAACAAGATTATTTTTTCCAAACTATTGAACCTTTCAAGAAATCAATTTACTAGGGAGACAAACACGAAAAGGTTAAACTACAAAAATTAAAACAACTGTAAACACAATATTGCAATATCCTTTTCGAATCGAATTCAAATTACAGTACATGTAAAACATGAGTTTTTTCCTGCAATTTATGCCTATTGTTCTCATCTCTTTCTTACTACAGTATAAGATACCTTTGGAGGTAAATAACTAACATAAAGTTTTTTCTACAAAATTTTCAGATAACGAATACTAAAACACGCAGTCGATGTACTTATTTAATGTGTTTATACGTCATTGAGCTCATATTAAATATTTTTTTCAGAATGGCAACAAAACCAATCTGCTATACGTTTCTAGATATTCTATTCAACGTATCACTACGTTGAGGCAATACCGTAGGCGAAGGTGAAGGGGTATTTTGTGTAACATTGTCATCAAAGTTGCAATACGTCACGTGATGCGAAGGTCACCAATAGCAAGGACAACTTTGCCATCAGCCGTTTCCAGGAATCAGCTGTTTCGTCAGAACGATCAGCTGGTCTTTTATTCATGAAAGAATCGCTGGGCGCCTTGTAGTTCCGATCAGGTTCCTGTGTTATTTCCCCCATCGTTTCCAAGCGAATAATAGAGTTTATTAAAAATCAATGTTTCTAAAAAAGAGGTTTTTATTTTTGGCGATGATAAAATAATAATATTTTCTTATCTACACTTATACTGAAAATATGACTTAAAAGACGGAATAAAAGATTTTACACCGGCAATCGATTTAGATCAATAAGGTCCAATCAATTACACACTCATATCCATTCATACTTGGCTTAAAATGCCTACTTTCGTATGGTCGCCATTACATTAAAAATTATTAACGGATCTTAAATTCTTGGTCTTAAACGTTAATTGTTAACAAAAAAAAAATAACTTCAACTTTTATCAAACTTTGATCTTCGATGGCTGAATAATGTTGACGCGGAAGGGCCCTTGGTTTCAGAAATACGTACATAGCACACACCTTCAGTTTATCGCTTTTTGATTTTTTAAATATTTTATACCCGGGGCTTTCGATACCAACTATAAACACACCATATATAATTTCCTTGGAGCCTAGCTGTTTCAACTCATAACATGATTACAATACTAAAAAGAATTCCAATTCCACTGTGATATTTCTGTAGATATTTCAATTAAAATCCCTTTGGTATTTGAAAGAATATTTTGAGATTCAGAACCTGTTTGAAATTAACATTGTTCATGTGATTGCAATTTAAATATCTAGAACACAGTGGGATTATACATTTTACTTGTTGTTTTTTAATTGTTTTCTAAGAGATTCCTTTAAAGATGACCGTCAGATC